ATAAAGAAAAAACAGGCAAACAGGAAGGAGCAAAGCCCTTCTTCCTCCTCCAGTCTTCCAGTCTTTCTTTAGTTCCCCCTATTGGCAGAGCCTAACAGCAACTGGAAAAGCACAAAGTTGTTTTGTAGAGTCCTAGCTCCCAGCATCACAAAGCAAGAAGGGTGGCTGTGGAACTGGAATAAATAGTAGTTTAACATGCCCACAAGCCAAGGATACAGCTGTAGGTAAAACCCTAGAGAGGGTATATTCAACTTGATCCTACAGGGAAATTCTGGAGTGTAAGTTATGTGTCTAAGTTGTTCCTACCCAAGACAGGGGGAGCTAAAGTTTCCATACTCCTGTATTTATCAGTCATTGGTTAAGAACTGCGGTTGAGGAATATAATTTCCCAGGGACTTCTAGTCCTTGTGAAAGAATGCAAAGTAGTTCCAAAAGCCTAAGGACAGTCCTGTGAAAAAGAGTTGCAGATCCCAGCTGTTGAAAATAGAAGCACAGTGAAACTTCAGGTAATGGGAACACTCAAAAAAGGTAGATAAATATCACCTACCTTTAAATACTGAAGCATCAACAGTATTTATTCTGCAGACATAGTTCTAAAAGCTGCCTTATTTTTCTGCTTTTTTGACTAAATTTTTCTCATTTTCAATTTAATGGCCGTTACTTTGAGGCTATCTGAAATAATAGGTGCTATCTGAAACACGTGTAATCTGATCTTTTCCTAAGTGCAAGTCACTTTTTTCAAATTCTACTGGTGCTTCCTTGCTCAAAGTCTTTTAAAGTCACATGTCTGTTTGGAATGTAGAAGAAGTAGTGTTTTCCAACCCTGCAAAGTCCCCCATTGGTGGACTCTCTCTATTCCCTTTCATTTCTGTTCGTAATGTCAGGGCTCAGAGAACAACACCTCAAAGTATGGTGCTTTGGGGTGTGCTGAGCACGTCTGAATTAAAGAAAATGGGAAAGGCTTAGAAGTTGCCCCAGAACAAAGGACTTTCTAACATTCTTCTGTCCCCCCAACCCCCAAACACAGGGAGAGGCTCTCCCTGGAAGTTCCCTTATCTTACAGAAAAGTTTTTTCAAAAGAAATGCAATTGTTCTAAAGCCTCCTCCCTAGGAATCTCATCAACTAACCAGCCAAGATTAACCATAAGAAGAGAAAAGACTAAAAGTCATCGTCATGCCCAGACTGTTCCTCTATTCTTCTCAGGGCAACTGAGATTACCTGGGAGACTTTATCTGCATAAGAAGACCATCTTTGTTCATTTCTGTTGCTCAAGCTGGAATGTAGTGGCAGGATCATGGCCCACTGTAGCCTTGAACTCCTGAACTGAAGGAATCCTCCTGCCTCAGCCTCCTCAGTAGCTGGGACTACAGGTACACACCACACCTGGCTGCTGCTGTTCTTACAATAGTAACCTGGAGTAACCTGATGTTAACCAATCAGTTTTCTTTCTATTATTCTGTCTCACTGCCCCACCTTACAAGGAAAGTAACTTTGAAATGACCAACTTGCTTTTTGTTGTTTCTTCTTTCTTCAGCCCTTTTTCTGTCTGTAAAGCCAACCACATCTGCTCCATTCATGGGAACACCTATTCTATCGGTGTTCTATTGCCCCTCACCTTCCTTCAACTTTTTGCCACCTCCCCCAGAGCTCGGAGGAACTTTGTCCCAGACCATTGTCTGTTCTTTGAGCTCATTCATGTCTTCTGAAAATAATTTGCTACCCCTCAAAATTGCTTACGTCCTCTATTTTCTTCTCCCCTACGAAGTGAGTACTTGAGTGTCAACTGTCTGGCCCTTCTTTGAGTCTTATGTTTTGTATGACTCTTGTGCACAGTATCACGTTAATACCTTTGTATGCCTTTTCTCCTGTTATTCTCTCTATTGTTGGTAATTTCATCAGACTCAAACCTTCAGATGTGAAAAATTTCCTTTGCCCCCAACAATAAACTGGTTAATTCTGTTCTATGCTAATCTCCTTCTGATAATGTCTTGCTAAAAACATAAAAAATCACCAACATCTACCATTAATATTGCTTTCTGAACTCCTCCCTTAGCTTTACAAGTTATGTAGATACTAATCTGCCTTGTGAGATATTGTAAGCAAGAGTTTAGCCACCGCCTAATGTGAACCTTCAGCTGTCCACCCTCTTACATCTATTTCCTCAATTCCCACCTGATTACTGTGCTAAGCTAATGACACATATTTTAGTTTTTTGTTATTGTAGGCCATCGCTATTGTTAATCAGAGTTAGTGATTTTAGCTATTGCAACAAACCACCCTCAAATCTCAGGGTCATAACCCAATGAAGATTTATTTTTTGCTCCAATCAGTCCAATGAGGATAAGTGTGTTGACACAATTATTAAGAAACCCAGAGTCCTTCTATTTAATGTTTCTGCCATCCCCCAGCTTCTCAGAGTTTTCTGTATCTGGCTGACTGGTGTGTGAAAAACAAACAGGAACTATAAATTACTGGAAGTTTTAAGGTCAGGCTTACATGGGAGGGTCACTGCTTCTGTTTACATTCCACTGTCCAGAATTAGTCACACAGCCCAATATAAAGGTAAGATAGCTGGGAAACATAGGTTTCCTGGGTGCAAAGAGGAAAATAAGATGGTGAATATGTATCATTATCTCTGTCACACTTAACGATGATTTCAGTTGCAGGTAACAGAAAATTCAACTCAAATTGGCTTTGTTGGGGAGGAAAAACTTTTCCTTCTACCTTTTGAGGTTCTATAATTGGGGGCCTGTAAATTAAACTGACAAAGGACAAGAGAAGACAGATTTTAATCACATATATGTAAGGGAGATCACAAAGAAGTGTGACTCCAGAGGCTGGTTAGAATTTGGGGCTTATAGACTGATACTTCCCTGAAGGGGAGGGGGAGAAAAGCACTTATGGGAAAACAAATGACTTCTTAGAAGGGGAAGGAGCGGAAAGGGCACTTATGGAAACGACTTTCGGGAAAGATAAATGGGCCCTTTGGAGAATAGATGGGAGATATCATAGTTTTTTTGACAATGTCTGTTTAGATGTGGTGACAATTCTCACAGTCACTGACGGTGACTCAATCTTCCTTGGTTGCTCCCTGGAGGGAATTTATAACAATTGAGTTCTTTTGGGTTCTTTTGAAAGGCTCTGCTTTTAGGTAGATAAGGGATTTCAGGAACTTAAACATATTCAGCTCAAAATAATTTTTATGCCACAATGGCTTATTCTGGATCCCTTCAGCTTAAACAACAAAGGGAATTTATTGGCTCATAAACCAGAGAAGTCTAGAGGTAGTATGGGTTCCGGTGATGTTTTATTTGAAGGTTTATGATTCTCTCAGGGATTGGCTTCCTTTCCCTATGATTGATTCTCCCAACCATTCCTCCTCCACGTGTTGGCTTTATTTTCAGTTGGCTCTACTTAGTAGCAAAGGAAAAAAAAAAAAGAGAGAGAGAGAGGGAGAATGTAGCTCTTCCAGTATTTACATTTGAATGCTATACTATTCAGAGAAAAAAAATAACTTCTCTGTTCTTTGCTATAAAACAAAAATCCTAGGCTTCCCTCTGATTGGCCTCTGAAACAAAACTAGTTTAAAGGGTGAGGATAACTCTGATAACTTTTGGCCAGTTGGACAATTCTTGGACCTGTTATGGGGTATATTACGTCTGTCCAAATTGCATAGATGAACACAAAGTACTTGTGGAATGAGAGCTGGGAGATCACCCATATTCATTGCAGTAATTCAGGTAGGGATATGGAGCATAATCTCACTTAAGGAGAATGAGTACTGTGAGGATATCTATAGCAAGTGTGTAACATGTAAAATAGGCTGAGAACATAAGTCAGAGAAGCTCGTAAAAAACGATGGGAAAGTTCAGACAGTAAGTCAGGAGAACCAAAAGAATGGCGTTCTAGAGGCCAAGGGCGTATGATGTCAGAAGTTTGAAGTACGATGTCAGAATCATCCAAATAACTTCCTGTGTGCTGATTCTATACTCACGAGTCATCTTTTGTAATTTGGCTTCTCATGTAAATGTTCCTTTGAATGAAAATGTTAACCAGCTTTCTGGTCTCCATGGCAGTTGTGTTTTTCATGAACAACAACAAAAAACAATTGCAATTCTCGTTTACACATCAGTCTCAGTAAGTTTGGTTGGTATGAATCATCCCGCAGGATTCAAATTAGTTCTGGAGACTGGCAACATTGAGCTTTTGTCTCTACAAAGTGAGGACTAGACTCTAGAATACAGAGTGCAATCTTCTCTTTCATCCTGTTACAAATAAAAATAATAGGATGCCATCATTTTGTTTTATTTTTTATTTTTATTTTTTATTTTCATAGGTTTTTGGGGAACAGGTGGTGTCTGGTTACATGAATACGTTCTTTAGTGGTGATTTCTGAGATTATGGCGCACCCATCACCCGAGCAGTATACACTCTACCCAATGTATGGTCTTTCATGCCTCACTCCCCTCCCACGCTCTCTGCGGAGTCCCCAAAGTCCACTGTATCATTACTATGCCTTTGCATCCCTACAACTTAGTTCCCACTTATGAGAACATACAATGTTTGGTTTTCCATTCCTGAGTTACTTCACTTAAAACAATGGTCTCCAATTCCATCCAGGTTGCTGCGACTGCCATTATTTCATTCCTTTTTATGAGGATGCCATTGTTTTGGACCAAACTCCTGCACTAAGGCCCAACAGACTAGACTAAAAATCAACATGGAGTTACCCATGCTCACAAAACTGAAACTGAGTTGTTATGTGGCCTTCTGAGAAATCAGGAGAGAGGTAACAGCCTAATTTCCCAAACAGGCCAGTTTAAACCTTCAATCCCCATAATAATGAAGTTCCCTGTTTTAACTCTTGTTTGTTTTTGAGACAGAGTCTTGATCTGTTGCTCAGGCTGGACTGCAGCAGCAGGATCATGGCTCACTGCAGCCTTGAACTCCTGAACTGAAGGAATCCTCCTGCCTCAGCCTCCTCAGTAGCTGGGACTACAGGTACACACCACCACACCCGGCTGCTATTGTTCTTACAATAGTAACCTGGAGTAACCTGATATTAACCAATCAGTTTTCTTTCTATTATTCTGTCTCACTGCCCCACCTTACAAGGAAAGTAACTTTGAAATGACCAACTTGTTTTTTGTTGTTTCTTCTTTCTTCAGCCCTTTTTCTGTCTGTAAAGCCAACCACATCTGCTCCATTCAAGGGAACACCTATTCTGTTTTATGGAATGAAGTGGTGCCTGAATCTAGAATTGCAATAAAGCCAAGTGAGATCTTTAAATTCGTTGTAATTTTGCCTGACACTGTAGCATGCTTTGCTAACCTCTAGGGACTGTATTTGAAAAATGACGTCTTAAGAATATTTCAAGATTTTGGAATTTTTAAACTTTCCATGTTTGCTGTTTTGACTATTTTCTGTCTTTTCCTGTAAAGTTTATTTTCAGGGCCAGCAGGAAAGGGAAAGCTGGGTAGATGATCCCAGGCCCATTTGGGAGAAGGCTAGGTCATGGTTACCTCCAAGTACACAAGATCTGTAGGAGTGATCCAGGTGGCCTTTGGGGAAGATTAATTTGGGGGCAGTAATCAATATGGAGACTACAATAATGATAAACACTTGAGGAAAGCTAGGGAAAGCTGGATGAGAGAGAAGAAACTGAATTCAAATAGGAAGACGAATTAGCAAGATTCAGTGATTGAACAGGGTGTCTGTTAAGGATCCTACCAGGCAAGATTTCAAGTCTTGGTCACTCACAAGCTGCACCAGTAATGCCATTGCTCTTGAGAAGTCAATCAGTTTAGGAAACTTTCCTTACAGATCAGAATACAACTTTTAGCAAGTATTTATGCAAGCAGTATCTTGGCAAGTGTTCTTCTTGTAAATTCTTATACTTCTCGTTGTCATAACTTTTGAAAATGCTATTACAGGTTAATATCCAGATGGCAGAATTAGGAATTAGAGTGTGAAAGTTAATCATTCGAATTGGGTCACTCTTGTCATAGCCAACTAAAAGAGTGGAGAAGCCAGTGGGGGGGAAGCAGGGCACATAACATTGCTCCAAGAATAGAATTCTCTGCAAGCCTGGCTGCTGAAACCACCTGCTGTAACCTGAAATAAGTTTTATCTTCAGGTTTTAGCTTCTGAAAGAACCTGCTGCAGCTGTAGGGCAAGTTTTACCAACCCCCTTCACTCACCAATCAGAACTAACCAGCTGCCCAAAACTTTACTAAATGTCAATGAACTTTCTGGAAAAACAATAGATAACTTTTTTTTTTTTTTTTAAATAAAACCCCCTAACTCCTCTTTGTTCTTCTCACATACTGAAGACCACCCTGTATTTGTAATAACCTGAACTTGCAATTACTGTGTCCCAAATGAAACGCTAAATGTAGAGATTCGTCTCTTCGTATTTGACTTCGACAGGGTCGCAAGCAAAACCACACATTTAAAACAGACTTGGTAAAATCAGCCAATTATGAAAAGAAACGGACGATTCCTTTTTCTCTTCTGGTTTAGTCTTCGCCCCGCAGCCTCCGCGATTCTTTCGAACGGCGGTTCTACCCCGTGACCTTTTCACTTTCCAAGTCAACGGACTGGGGGTCGTTACACACGCGGAGGGCCCGGAACGCACGGCTCCTCGCCTGCAAATTCCGAGCAGTCCGGATTTTGGGGCTGCCGCCCGGCCACACCAACTAGCAGCTCGCACCCACATGGTGACCGGGCCCTGGCCCTCGCCCCCGACCGGCGCGTGGGTCTTCGAGGGCCCGCGACGCGGCGCACATGTCGGTGCCCGCCTCCCGCGTCGGCGACAAGACAGGGAGCTCGGACACGGGGAGGCTGACCCGGAGCCTACCCATGAGGCAGCGCGCCGGCTGCACGAGAGCCCCCCCTTTCCACGGCTCGGCTGCCAGCTCCGCAATGGGAGCCGCCGCCGTCGCCGCAGTGTAGTTTTTCGTGCTCCTCCTTTTCCTCCTCCTCTTTCTCCTCCTCCTCAGGGCTCCAGTCAGGCCGATCCGCTCCGCTCACGGTAAGCGCCCCCCGCCCCCGCCCGCCCTGCGCTGCAGCAGGCAGAGGCCCTCCCGCGCGGCCTGCGCCGCCTCACTCCGGGGGCGCTGGACTGGGGGTCTTGAGGCCGGCGCGGGTCGTCGGGAGCGCCCAGGGCGCGGGGGAGGAGACCGGCTGCGCGGCGGCGGCCGGACCGCCATCTTGCGTCGGCCCAGGCGGGGGAGGAGGGATCCCGGCGCGACGCGGCAGCCGCCTCGGCTGCTGCAGGCCTGGGCCGCGCGGGCCGCCGCCTTCTGCTCCTCCACCACCTCCCCTCCCAGGCCTGTGCGCCTGTTTGTCCCCAGCCTGGTTTTGGCTTTTCTCTCTGGAGGCAACTCCCTTTGGTACATTTTGTGCCGATGTTTGGCCAAGACCCATGCTTCTCACACCACAGCCCACCCCCGTGTCTCTTCAGTCGTAGGAAAGGAGACCAAAAGGGGGTTCGAGATTTGCAGGCACAGGGCCCCTCGTTTGGCCCAGATGACCGGTCGTTCCACGTTTGCACCCTCATTTTTGTCAAAGGGACCTCCCCTGCTCTGCCATAGAATTCCCGTTATTGTCTACAGAAGAAGGGCCCTGAGGAGAAACGTGGAGTTGGAGACACAATTTTCTGAGCTTTGCAAGGTTCACTTACTGAGACGGAAAGAATGATCTCACTCTGAGGTTTTAGCCTGCTCCAGCGATGGAAGGAGTTCCTCCCAACTTATCTCAAGTTTTAACGCTTTTAAGGAGAAATCTGCTGGAGAGGAAAAACGTCAAGGTGAACCCGCTTCTGCAAGCACGGGAGACCTTTGGCCAAAAGTCTTTGTTTGCGAAGATTCGTTAGTTTAAAAAAAAAAAATCTGTCATCTTAAATATTTGGCTTTATTGTTTTCAGGTTTGGACAGAATTTGTCTTTTTTAGTGCCATGAAACATAAAATGGAACGCTGGAAGGAGAGTTTTAAAGCACAAAAGCTGCCTCTTAGCATCTGTAAGGTGTCCTGCTTTGGGGGACTACTGTGCCAACTCCAGCTGTCTCCACGCAGAAACTTAACCAGGGAAGGCACTGGTTTGCTTGTACCATTGTTAGGGCTGTGTGCCTCTGATGTTTTAACATCATTACAAATACCGTTGTAATTGTGTCTTGCTTTTGTTTCTTTCTTTGATAACCCCTGATTTGTATCTCTTAGCAAACCCTTTTGAAGTGGTCTAGGTTGCGGGAATCATTTTGCAGGCAAGGAAACAGCCTCAGGGAGAGGACTTGAATGAGGTCACTAACTAGGAAGAGCCAAGGCCAATTATATTAATAGAACCGTAGGTCTTCTGACTCCTTCTCCAGTGCTCAACGCTAGTATATACCATTTTTGTGGGAACGAAGTAGATGAGAATAGGCAAGGAGGCTCACCTAAAGATTTTAAGAAATACTACTCAATTGCCCTTTCGTTGATATTTTTATGTTTTACTTTTGAAATGCGGGTGTTATGTTGCCCAGGCTGGTCTCAGACTCCTGGGCTCAAGCTGACCTCTCAGCCTCCGTAGCTGGGATTACAGGTGTGCATCATCTAGCCTGGCTTTTATATTTTTATTTTCGAATGAATTTATTAACTTTGCAACTTGTTATTTTTTTCGAAAATGTTGAAAAGTTAAATAGCCCATTTGAACACCATACCTACCACCTAGTTTTAACGCTACCTTTTTGCCATATTTGCGTTTTCCACTTCCCTCACATTCTGTTTTCCGAACATTTCAAAGTGCGTTACGGATATGACAGTTCAGCCCTAAATGCTGTATGTGTGTCAGTATGTATTTCCTAAGAGATCAAGGCCATTTTTCTGTGTAACAGTACCACAATCACACTTAAGAAAGTGAAGAATATTCCTTACACTCTAACATGTGGTGTAGTATGTATTCACATTTCCCCCCATTTCTTCGAAATTCCTTTTCAATCGTTTTTTGTTGTTGTTGTTGTTGAGATAGGTACTTGCTCTGTGTCCCAGGATGGAGTGCTGTGGAGCAGTCTTGGCTCGCTGCATCCTTGACCTTCTTCCTGGGCTCAAGCCATCCTTCCACCTCAGCCTCCTGAGTGGCTGGGAACCCAGGAGCACACCACCGCACCCAGCTAATTTTTGTATTTTTTGTAGAGATGGGGTTTTGCAGTGTTGCCTAGGCTGGTCTCAAACTCCTGGGTTCAAGTGATCCACCTGCCTGGGCCTCCCAAAGTGCTGGGATTGCAGATGTGAGCCACAGCGCTGGGTGACATTGATCTTTTGGAGAGACCAGGTCTGTAGTCTTATAGAATAACCCATATTCCATGTTTTAGTGATAGTTCCTCCTCATAGTGTTTAAATTTGTTCCCTCTATCCTGTTTTCTGTAAACTTGGATTTGGGTCTAAAGGCTTGAATATATTCAGGTTTAATATTTTTTTTTGATAGGAATACTTTGTAAGTCGTGCAGTATACTTCATTGCATACAACATCCAAAGGCACATAAAGTAGGCTTGTCTTACTGATAATCCTAAATTTGACAGGCTATCTTTCCATTGTAAGCATTTCCTTCTGCAATTAGCAAGTAATTTGTGGTGTGATATTTTGGCATTAGGGTGAGAATTTACCTGCAGTAATCTGATAAACACAGTTGGGAGCAGTCCTTAGGTATGGGTTTGGAAGTTAGGAAGAAGGAGGAGTGGAGACAATTCTGGAGGAAATGCTAACCTATCTACTTTAGGGAACTTGGAATGCTACTGTGTGTCGGCATCAGAGCCTAGGGAGACTAGGAGAGAGGAGGCAGAAAGTAGATGTCAGAAAGACTTTGCCTTCTTTGAAAGTTTCCTTAGGACCATTTTAGCAGTAGTAAGCTATGGTAAATAGAAAAGTTCTGAAGTAGTTTGATGTTGAAGGATTGCAAGTGCTTCAACTGGAACATCTGTCCAGTTAGGCTACTAATCCAGTCTTTTTTCATTCCAGTGTTTTATTAATCAGCATTGGCTCACTGAAATAGCAGTTTTCACAAATGAAAAGTCAACTGTAGTTTTAGGTGACAGGAAATTGGAAATTTCTATTGACAACATATTTTGTTATTCCAAAAGCAAGTTTTGGAAGATGAGGAATGTTTTTGATATATTCACTAATTAAATATATAAATCCTGAATAGTTTTTTTCTTGCTTTAGAGAAGAATTAAAAAACTGTTTGAATTTTCAGTCAGATTTCTTTAAATAGTGATTTAAATAATGACTTGATTTACTTAGTGCCTTGTATCAAAAATTGTATGTTTAGAATTTTAATTCATTTCTCCAAAGCAATTTTAAGGATTCTCTTAACCCTTAGTATAGGAGGAAAAGTATACAATTATCATTATCATCTGGGTCAAAAGGGACTGTTACTTTTTTGCATTTTAAGTTATGTATAATTTATAGGAGTAAAAATATATCATAACGTAAAACAACTTATTGGAGCTTTTAATAAGAATTTAAATATAGCAATTCTCTTTGTATATACTTAGAAAAATAAAAAACAAAATATCTATTTCATGCATTTAATTACATGACACCCCTACAACAAATATACATCACATTTGAACGCTTTATGTAAACATTCTTATTATTTAATAACACCCATTTTTTTCCTTTTTGAGTTTTTGTATCTATACAAAGAACATCTTCCTTTCTTCCCATTTTCAGATATGTGCAAAAATCATTCTGGTTAGAGGATAAGACAACATTCCCTTCCTAGTTTCTGCAAGTTATTTTCCTAGTTGCATGAGGAATTTCTTCTTGGTAACTTACAGTTTTGTAACTGAAGCTTTTCCCATACAATGAAAGTATACTCTGAACTAATACCAGTCATAAGCCATCTTCAAGTCATTCTCTTCCAAGTATTGTTTCTGACCCACTTTTTGAATGTATCACTCCTGTAGTCTTTTTGTAATACAGATCACTTCAGGTTAATTTATGTAAGGATTTAAAATTCATTGATAGTTGAGATGAATTGAGCTGAGAATTCTGGGTAGGTATAGTTTTCCTTAGGACAATAAGAATCACGAAGTATATTCGAAATCCAGATTTTGTGCGATTGACTTCTTTTGCTATTCCATTTGTGAAAATTCATAGAAGTTCAACGCTGTTCTTCATAAGAGTGCCAACAAGGAGAGTTTGATGCTGTATGATATTCAGCCAAGTCTAAATTTGTAAAAAATTTGTCACAAGTTATATGTCTGACAGAGTTTTGAAATTTTTCTGGCATTTCTTATATATCAATCTTGATTCTGCTCTCATACCTTTTCCAAATCTCTGTGTAGATCTACATTGTCCAAGCTTATCATATTTCATTGTCACCTATTGCTCAGATTTTCATTTCCTGTTTTTCACCTTTGAAGGTATTTCTACCTGAAATGGGCAACATCATCTGAATGGAATTAATTATAGATGCTCCTTGAATTACGATAGGTTACATCCTTGATAAACCCATCATTAGTTGAAAGTATCATGAGTTGAAAATCCATTTAATGCACCTAACATACTGAACATCATACCTTGGTTTAGCCTACCTCAAATATGCACAGAACATTCACAGTAGTCTACAGTTGGGCAACATCATCTAACTTAAAACTTATAATAATAAAGTGTTGAATATCTCGTGTAATTTATTGAGTACTGTACTGAAAGTGAAAAACAGAATGGTTGTATGAGTACTTGAAGTAATGAATGCACTTTGACACCATGATAGAGTTGAAAAATTGTTTTAAGTTGAACCATCTTAAGTTGGAGACTGTCTGTACTTAGCACCTTTCATACATGACGTTGGAACTATTTGTCTTATGAATACTGATTCTAAATTTCAAATGCTTCCCTAATAGGTTCTTGCTTGTCATTCCTTCTGGGTTGCCTTTTTGCGTGTACATCATCAAAATGCGATACTGGAAGAGTTTTTAAAATCTTTGATAGTTCACAATTTTGTTGAAGACAGTACATCTATCTTCTTTGCTCCACAATTGCAAGATATTTTC